CAAACCCTATTTTTTCGGAACTTTCACTGTATGAATCAGACATTGCTACATTATGTTGTAATCGAATTCTATCGATTTGTGATGAATTTGATAAATGACCAGAACCTTCAATAATTTTTCGCTTTACTTTTTTCTTTTAATTTGAAAAAAAAAAAAAATTCATAAAATTTAATGAGGGCGATGTAAATTAGAAAAAAAAAAAAAAAAAAAAAGGAAGACAATGTAATTAGCAAATAATTAATGTTAAAAATTATAAACCTTTTGAATCAAAAATTCGCATAATTTTAATTGTAACAGGATCGGTACATTGTTGTAATAAATGCATTACATCAGCTGCTTTCATACCTTCAATTGATTCATTGTTTACTGCAAGAATTCGATCACCAACACGTACCGCACCTGTCCTATAAATAAGCCATTGTATGATCATTGGTCATTGATGACCATATAAAAGTTTATTTAATATAAAATAATAAATTTGATTAATATTATACGTCGTGCTTTTTCCAATTTCCAAATTTACCTTGTATCTGTAATGTTAAATTTTTGAATTCTTATTGCTTTTATTAATAATTGTTATTGATAACGAAAGTAATTATCAAATAATATCACTGAAAAAAAAATGAAAAATCTTCACAATAATTAATAATCGTACTTTTCAGCTAATCCACCTGGTGCAAGGTATGATATTAATATAGGTTCATAACGTTCAGCACTAGAAGCAATTGTTATGCCTAATGGTCCACCATTTCGATTCAATTCGATAGAATAAATTAATGATTGCACTGCATCATGATTAGCCTAAATAAGGTTTAATTTAAATATTTTAATTAGGAAAATTAATTTTTGGAATTTAAATATTTTCACAATAATAATTAATTTTTTTAAAAAACTTTTTGTTTAATTGTCAAAAAGAAAAAAAAATGTTAAAATTATGAATGAAATTTAGTTCATATAAAACTATGACAGATATATAATTATTTTGTATTTGAAAAAAAAATAAAGTTTATTTTGAAATTTTGAATTAATGAAATTCTTAGAATTTAAATACCTGTTCAGATGTAACACCTTTACGAACTCGTAATTTAACAATATCACCGGAACGCTGCAATAAACGCATTGCTTCTTCAACGGTACATGATTCTAGAAGTATATTATCAACTGCTAAGATACGATCACCACTATGAAGTGAACCACAACTGAAATATTTCATAATATTTTTAATATATTTTGATAAAATATTTTATGCAATTAACAGTATTTAATCAATTAACAATGTTATCAATCAATAATAATCAAACTGTGTATTTTTTTTT